GAGAATTGCTTGAACCTGGGAGGCAGAATTTGCAGTGAGCTGAGATCGTGCCACTGCACTCCAGTCTGGTGACAGAGTGAGACTCTGTCTCAGAAAAAAAAAAAAAAATCTAGTTAGATGCAACTGAATGAAAATTCCAGCTTCACAGAATGACCATAAAGTGCCATCACAGGATGGTGGAAAGAACTCAAGAAATCTGTTTCTCCTCAGTTTAGAAGATCTGACTTTTGGGAAGCCATTAGCTAAGTCCTAACAGCCTTAACTGGGAGATACTTTGGAGTCACACCTGATTGTTGATACAAGGAACAATGTGAGGATTCTTTATAATACTATGGGAGAAAAGACAAATTTTCTTTTAATGTGAGTTGCCAAATTATTTTAAATAAATATACATTTTATTAATGCTTGGGTAGCATTTGGATTACTCCAAGTCAGAAATGTAAACTGACTATACATTTACCTTATAACACTGGCCTATAACGCGTTGTTTCTAACTCAGAATCCTAACCAGGCAATTCAGAATGTTTATTTTTTTGAAGTGGAATGCTGACTCGCACGTGTGGAAATGAAAACTTTGTAAGGAAAGAGGTGGCACAGGGAAGCTGGAGTATAATTTCAAGAAACCGAAAGTCCTTCCTGGATCAATATCCTCATCGTATTTTCTACTTTTATTTTAGGAGGAGTGAGGTTAATTCTAGTTTTCTATGTAAGACTCAGAGAAATTCAACTGTTAATTATAACACTTGACATTTTAAGAAATTTCATTTATCAAGAAAGTTAGATAAGTGTTTGAAGAAATTCTTTGAGTCAGCAGGCTGGTGACTTGGATGTCATTTCCTCTCTTAGTCAAGAATAAATACGACGACAATAAGAACAACTAATATTTAACATGTGCCCAGATATTTATATACGTTACATCATTTAATCCTGTTAACCCAACGAGACGAATATTATTGCTGGCATTTCTATTTCACAGACGAAGAAATGGAGGCTTAGGGAGGATAAGTAATGTGCCCAAAGCTGCATAGTGTGGGAGCCAGGATTTGGAACCACTGACTCAGCCTCCAGAGCAGGCATAGTGTACTATGCTATTCTGCATCATGAATAATGGATTAGACTAAAATAACTGGTTGATTTAATGTGTTGTGACTTGCTACTATGGCCCCTTGACATGAGAAATCACAAAGATTGCTTTAAATTATTTGAAACCAAAAAAATGAGCAAAGCATTTATTCCTTCCAGGATGACTGTATGTATATATTATGGCTTAACGATATTTAAAAATCATTTTATAAGGAATCATAACCCAAAATTTTATTAAGGATGGTCATAAAACATGTTATATATTACACTAATTCTGCTTAAAATATATTGTACTTATAATCACCAAACTTACTCCTGACATTGGAAAAAGATAAGAAACAGTTGTCTTCTATTCGAACGCACAAAATTCCACAATGCTTGTGTAACTGAGGTAATATTTTGAACATGAGTAATGTGATCTTTTTCTCATCTGCCTGGGAAGTCCATTTGCCCTGGAGATAGGGTTTTGGCACTGTTTAGATGTTACAAAAGGAATGGAAAAAAAGAAATTAATATTTGTCCTCTGAATTCAAAATAGGAACAAGACAATAGGCTTGAAATCCAGGCTAATGTTTTGAAAGCCAGTCTCTAAATTCCTTTAGCTCTGCTCTTAGCTTGTCATCAACCAAACCTGAAAGACTTTGCTCAGTGTTCTGTCCTGTAGAGCTCTGGCTTCGTGCAAAAACTTTTCAAAGGGTCCCAAAGCATGCAGAGTTTTATGGGAACAAATTTCCAGATCCTCAACTTCTACAAGTATGCATTTTAAAACTGCTTTTCTGAGAACTAGTGCAGTCGAGATGTCATGCTGGTTCTTGGTTTCTACCTAGCTTTTCTTTCATCTTACCATAGACTGCTGACCCTCTTTTCCACCTTTACCTCAAATCCTGCATTGCCTGAATTTAAAAACCTCCTGGGGACCAAACATAGAAATAACTGAAAATACTGGGGATAGTATTGAGAAAGTGAATAGTTCCAATACTTCGGTAACAAATCCTTTTAAAAATCAGGAGCTTTCCAAGTGCTTTCAACGAAATTGAAAACAAACCACTACCCATATAGTCCACTGAGAAATTCATTAAAATAGTTTTCTTAAAAGAAAGCTCTTAGTGAGGATGGTGGCATGTGCCTGTAGTCCCAGCAACACAGAAGGCTGAGGTGGGAGGATCGCTTGCACCCAGAAGGGTGAGGCTTCAGTGAGCTCTGATGGTGCCACTGCACTCCAGCCTGGGAGACAGAGCTAGACCCCATCTCTTAAAAGAAAGAAAGCTCGGCTGGATGCGGTGGCTCACGCCTCTAATCCTAGCACTTTGGGAGGCTGAGGCCCGTGAGATCACCTGAGGTCAGAGTTCAAGACCAGCCTGGCCAACATGTCAAAACCCCGTCTCTACTAAAAATACAAAAATTAGCAGGGTGTGTTGGCGTATGCCTCCAATCCCAGCTACTTGGGAGGCCAGGGCAGGAGAATCGCTTGAACCCGGAGGTGGAGGTTGTGGTGAGCTGAGATCGTGCCA